AAATGCAGCCAACCCTCTATGACCATTCACAAACAACTTACAGTAGTGGTTTATGATGTAAAAAGGGGTTGTGCAAGACATGTTTAAGGCCACACAGGATTAGGGTTTCATGATACTTGCATTGTGTAACTTTTTTGATGGAGGGTCCATGGAGGTTTGTCTGAAATGTTTCACAGTATGGTATTAAAGCTTTCTATCATCATGAAAACCAAACCAGGTCAAGTTACAGATCAGATCTGTGGGAAGGCAACCCCGCTCACAATCAGAATGCCTGTTTGTCTGTTTTTTTTTTGAGCAATAAAGCCACTTGTAATTGAATGCATGTAAGGTATTTCTATTTAATGTGGAACATTCAAAGCAGAGCAATGACATCACTACAGAAACAAGCAGGTGATGGACTTACAACCAGAAAGTTGCATAGTGCACCTTTACATTTCAAACTTGATTTTGAAACTAAGGAATAGACTTGATACTCAATACCAATTCTGATGTCAATCTCATATAGCCAGCCTGGTGCCACCTAGTGCCTCCAGTCAATTTCATTTCTCTCCAGTGACTCTGTCAGGAATCAGAATACACTAGATGGTCTGCAAGAACCCCGAAAGGGCAAGTCTGGGCACCAGCCAAGCCAGAACAAAGAGAATGTTTGGTGAATTTTATCAAGGGGAAAGTCGTTATTGCCCTTATTCCTACGGGATTTGGAAAAATCTAAATTAAAAAAAGTACCGTCGAGTGAACAAATTCTAATGCTGCAAGGTCAGACAGTTTCCAAAAAGTGAAACCGGTTGATGAATCAGGCTAAATCTTATTAGGCTTCAAGATGAATCACAATCAAAATTACAATTTGAACAGACGCAATTAGCAAATTGTAAAGACTAAAATTTTTGAAGTCCCATAATTTCTTCCAAGTAGAAGAAATTCTAATAAATAGTGCTGGTATATATATATATATATATATATATATATATATATATATATATATATATATATATATATATATATATATATATATCAAGATATATATATTTAAAAGATCATATGACTGCAAGATTAATTGGAATCAAACCAAAATTGCAATTTGAATGGACACAATTAGCAAATCACAAAGGCTGCAATTTTTCAAGTACTATCACTTCCTCCACAAAGTCGTATTCTCCATAAAAAAGCTAACCCTGTAGTTTACATCTGCACAAACATGTTCTGAAATGCGATTCTTCTTTGTCAGTTCTTCTGAACACATTTAAAATCACAAGTGACAACCGATTTTTCCCAATCGTTCATCTCTAAAGGCTAATAAAAGAAGACAGAGAGCCACAGAATCAATACGCAACGCACTAAACTATAAAAAGAAGTTATATATTTGGTTCTGAAATGTACAGAGATAATCAGAGATGTCTTCCATATCTGAGAAACACATGCTACAAATTATCACCTCTGAAAGGACCATCTCAAAATTGGAAGGATTTCTGGTGTGCTATGAAATGGGAGAAATAAGCTCGTCTGGCAAAGTTTTTGAGGCTGGGATAGAACTGCCAACCTTCTGATTACAAGACAGCAACTCCACCAGTGTTGCCTATAGATCTTAGGGTGATAGCATTGCTTAAAGGCACACTGTGTAACTTTTCTGACGGCAGGTTGTCTCTTTGTCTTCATGGAAATGCTATTGCTGAAATGTCTCATAGTATGGCATTAAACATCTCCATGATGTCAAGCAGGTGAAACTAAAAGGCCAAGTTACTGGTCAGATCTCTGGATAAATGACTCTGCTCTTCGTAAGAATGCATGCTTTCCAAGACAATACCATTCTCAACTTTTTTTTTCCATAAGCCACCATTAAATATTTACCACAGATGTTACCTCACCAAACCAAAAAATAATAAAATAATACAAATAAAAAACATGAAAAAGTGTCATATGCACTTTAACACTAACAAGCCATGAAGTACTGTAATCCCTCTTGTGTACTTTATATTGATTTATGAATAATTCCTGTATTTTCCTCTGTACCTTTTGCTGCTCAGTAAAGTGGATTTGACATAGGTGTGCGTGCCAAAGCTGCATTGCTTTGTTGTGGAGTAGTCCAGTGATGGGTGTATTCTCACAGATGGGCTCCTTCCCTCAGGCTAAACACTTCAACAGCCTGAGCTCCTGTTTCTGAGCCTGCTGTTCTTCTAACTGCAGTGAATGGACCAGGAAGTCTTCCCAATACAGTCACAGGAGGGTTTTATAATGGATCCCACAACTATTCAGTGAAGTGTGCCTGAACATGACAATATGGCTGAAGTTTTTGGTCATTTTTGGTCATCATGCTGATGTAGTCCCCGGGAGAGACTTCAATGGAATATAGGTTTGCCTTAACACATATTAATTTTGAATAGATATGAAAGATAATTGTAATTCAAATTGAAATCTCAGTTTGAATAGTCACATTTCACAACTTGCAAAGGTTGAAATTATTTAGTAATGATAATGTCCTCTGCTGAGAACAAAGTATCTCTTTTGGGTATCATTAGGTACATATAAAACCTGCTGATCTATTCTACCCGTCTGTAGTTCATATTTCAGTACTCATGGACATGTATCCACTGAACACTGTGGGCAAATCTTCATTATTTTAGCACAACCACAGATGAAGCTTTCTACTATGCTGTAATGTTGTTCCCTCATCAAAAACATGCTTGAAAAGGTATTACAGCTTGGTCTTGCATGTTAGAGAAATCTTGCAATCAGGCACTATTCAAAGTCAAACAGTTAAATCCTGTCCAAGATCACAAGCTGACATTATCCAAACTCCCACATGGCAATTTTCCATAGTATACAAAAGCATGATGCAAAACAATCAACTACAACTTCACAAACCTGACGTCATGTGCAGTATCATTATCATCAATCGTTAACAGAATGCACAATAATTGTGTTGTGATAGTGCTCTAAAGGGGACTGAATTAGCACAGGAAGCAAGGGGGACTCAGTGTCACGTCTAGAGCAGAAGTAGGACCCAAAATGCAAAACTGCATTTCCAAAATTGTTTAATGGCCAAACACAAAATCCAAAACAGACATGAGAGTCATAATGACAATAAACCAACCAAGGGCAAAGGAGTACACAGGGTATATAAGCACACACATTAATGAGACACAGGTGAGACACATTAGGGCAGGGCAAACAATCAAGACAGGAAGTAAAACTCAAAACTACAAGCAGACTAAACAAATGTCAAAATAAAACACCAACTACAACCACTACAAACATGAACTATGACACTCAGAGCATCAAAAACAAAACTGAAACTTGTTAAACATATTCATATGTTGTTGTTTTTGTTTTGTTTTTTGACAAATACAGCATTTTCAAAACAGTAAAAGGTGACATGGTGATCCAAATTATACCAGATAGAACTATAAATTTACAATTGTGAATCTACACCTCTGTCTGTGTATGGATTGTGTGGCCAAACATCCTTGTCAAAGCCTGATCTCTACAGATCTCAGAAGCTAAGCAGGGCTGGCCTGGTTATTACTTGCTATAGTAGATGGGAGACCTCTGGGAAAATCAAGTGCTACAGTGAGGCGCCAGTGGTAAAAACTGTTGTTGTGTCCTTAGACAAGATACTTCACCCACATTGCCTAGTATGAATGTGGTGAGTGTTGGTGGTGGTTAGAGGGGCTGATGGGGCAGATTGGCAGCCTCACTTCTATCAGTCTGTCCCCGGGCAGCTGTGGCTACAACAGTATCTTACCACCACTGAGTGTGGAGTGAATAAATAATGCACAAATTGTGAAGTGACTCAGAGAGTTTGAAAAAGCGCTGTATAAGACTAATGCATTATCATTTATGTGTCATTGTTGGATGTATCATTTTCAAGATTACAAACAATGACATGTAATTTCCAACAAAGCTTTTCTTCATCCATGCCCTTTAAATGATGCAACCATGTTTGTTTGCCCTTCTTGTGTCACCAGCCCTGGGCCACAACATGCATGGGTGGCTCTGCTATAATGGTGAATAGAAACAGCCCTGGGGGGAGAGTGAGTGGCTGTGGTTGTGTATAGCTATTCCATAATCAACTGGTCATTGTTAAGGATCCCCCAGCCTATAATTAAAGGAGTTGTTTTGATTTTATATGGAAGTGTAATCATATAATCGCTAAGACAATAAATGTACTTACTTAACGCTGGTACTGTGTATGAGATATAAGAAGAGATGCCTTTCACTTATTCCAGTCATTTTGTAAAATAGTTCTAGACAATTTATATTACATAATCTTTCCTGGTAGGTAATATGAGCTCACTGGGCAGAAGAAGCAGGTTTTGTATTGTCTATACACTGCTGTGAAAGAACTCGTCATCATTTTCACAACTTACTTTTCCTTGTACAACCACCAACTTTTATTTTTAAACTACTGTACACTCTTCAGCATTCACTTGATACAGTAACCTATAATCACACATTTTATGAACCAGTCTTAGAATGACACCAACTAAAGCAACAAGTTAGGTATGACTTTGTACTTTAACAGCTTGAAAGAGAAAAGCAGGCAGTGCTACCAGACCAAGTTGGAGATCAGATCTGTGGAGAGGCGACCCACAGATCTGATCTGTTGAACATTCAGGCAAAGCAATAATATAAAGACTGACAGGTGACGGACCCCACTGCAGAAAAGTTACATAAAGGATTTCTCAAACTTTTGGTCTCCACTGAGATGTTGAGAATGATCCCCAGTTCCACATTTTGCCTTCATTAAACATGTAGTCTTACTGTGAGCCTGGCTGCTTGTCTCCATGGAGATGGATAAGGTAAAAGTCATACTGTGGAACATTCCAGACAAAGTGATCACATCCTCGTGGAGATAAGCAGCTGGCGCTTTCCACTAGAAAAGTTTCAAATTACACCTTTGAGCTTGTACCCTGTGCCTTAAGTGCCTCTGCCATAGTTGTTTTGATATATTTTACACTCAAACACAGCAAAAACATTAGGTTTGAGAGGCAGCCATCACTCACCTGCCGTTGAGCAAGGCCAGCAGCTCCCCGGCGTGGTACAGGTCGTTGCGCGTCACTCGGCTGAAGCGGAACGAGTTGAGGTTGCAGAAGGTGACGGCGGGGAACCGAATCAGAGCCGCGGCCACCTCGTCCAGTTTGGTCACGTGGGGGTACTGGAAGTAAAACTGCACGCGGTCCACGCACACCATGGCCAGCACCCCCAGCGAGCCCAGGAAAAATAATATCCAGAGGGTTCGCTTGATGTACATCCGCTCGTAGGTGAACATGTGCGAGATGCCATGCAGCGTGGAACGGCTGGCGAAAACTTCAATCGGAGCCGGGCGCTTGTACTCCATCTCCTCCGCCTCTGCCTTGATATCCATGGCTGTACAAAAATGAACTATACTGAGAGCTGAAGTGAGACAAACTCTATCGCTTTGCTCGTATGAAAAGGGTTCCGCGAGTTCACGCCCTGCCTGGGTTTCTCATGCAGTCTGGGGAAGAGGTTGCGTCACTGACAGCTGGCCAAAAATCAAAACATCCAGATCATTTTACACGGGAATCAACCCCCAAAGCGCGCTCTTGTTTTTTTTAAAAGGGGCGTCTATAAGGATGAATAAGCATGTGTTGTAGTAGGCAATACCTCAGCTGGGGTCACACATCCATAATAAATAGCCCGGCTTTGGAGCGCGCATGGACAGCTGCCAACGTTGTCCTCTCCTCGCGCTCTTCTTGGTGATTATACCGAGTTGGTGTGCACGCTCCACGCTCCGAAAAATAACAAACTCGCACGCTGGGATCGCTTTTTCCGATGTAGCAAAAAGACAGCACCGCGGGTAGAGAAGCAGTCTTACAGCTTACCCGCTGGTTTGCTCAGTTATAAAACCAGAAAAAAGCGATGTTTCCTTCACGCCGTCTCCCACGTCGCTCTCGCGTAATTCCAACACGTGCAGAATGCCAAATAGCCGCTGATTATTGGCGTATCGTTGCGAGAAGCGATCGGGGTCCTGACTGGTCTACAGCTGCACCACAAGCTTCTGTCACAGTCGCCTCAGCCTCGCATCCATCCCCTCTCTCCTCTCTCTGCCAGCTCGCTCCACAACAATGCGGGCTAATTACAGCGCTTTCTTCTGGCTCCCCTTTAGCCTTTCTGCTCCTACTTAGCAAATAGCAAATGTGTAGGCGTTTGGACAAGACACAAGCAAGGCAGAAGGAGAAGGAGAAGGAGAGCAGCGCCTGGCCGTCTACCCTGGCTGGGGGTCCAATGGGAATCACCTCTGTGTGGCGCGGACGTGGTGTGTGCGGATCAATTCAATTCGCCCCCAAGAGCAGCGAGAGGACGCCATGTGTGGAGCGCTGGGGTCCAACGACACAGACACCACCATGGGCAAGAGTGGGATGCGTTCAGTGGTCTGTTCAAAGCAAGTTGAAGTAGAAACATGGTGAAATATAATACTGTTCTGAGTTGATAATGTTAAATGAGTGACTTCTCTGAGATTAATCAGACTCTTTAATGAGTAGTCTAATATAAAAGCGTAAAGCAAATGGTTTTGTTGATTTAGGATTACTAAATTGAGAAAAAATAAAAGGTTGCGCAACCTAAGATCCAGAAACATGTACAGTTAAAGGTGCACTATGTAACTTTTTTGGTTAGGACTCCCTCATCTGCTTGTGTTTATGGATATGTCATTGCTCTGCCTCACATGTTCCAAAGTATGATATTACTATTATTATTACTACTACTTCTACTACTACAGCTCAACCTTACATTTATAGCGGGATTTATAGCTCAAAAATGGATGTTTAGCTCAAAAATATTTACATTTATTCAATTGCAGGTGAATTTATAGCTCAAAAATATCTAGGAAAAACAGGCATTCTGACTGTGAGTGGGGTTGCTTCTCCGCAGATCTGACCTGTAACTTGGTCTTGTTTGGTCTCCATGAAGATAAAACGGTTTAATACCATACTGTGAAACATTCTAGGCAAAGCATTTGATGGACCCTCCTCCAGAAAACACAATGCATCTTTAATTGAGTGACTTCTCTAAGCTTATTTGGACTCTTTATATCAGTAGTCTAATGTAAAACACAAACATAGCTATAGTTTTGTTGATTTATTTTGTCCCCCAGAAAACACAGTACATCTTTAAATGAGTGACTTCTCTAAGATTATTCAGACTCTTTATATCAGTAGTCTAATATATAGCACAAACATAGCTATGGTTTTGTTGATTTAGCATTATTGAATTGAGAAAAAATGAAAGGTTAAACAATGTAAGATCCAGAAATATGTACAGTTACAGTATGTCAGTATTACAATTACAATTTTATTTCAAGCACTTACAAGCATGTTGAACGACTTCACAGCAAGGAGGTTGCTGTTTGTTTCCCAAGGCAGAGTGGGCCTTTCTCTGTGGAGTTCAGAATACAGATTTAGAGTAACTGAATTCCGGCACATGTACTCTTTCATTCGATGGTGTTTCTTTCCTAAAATCAAAGGAATACACAGCAGTACTTGATCACAAATTTTGGCTTTGAACTGCACAGTGCGAAAACATCGCTCTTAAAGCTTGTGCTTGTGTCATTTTTCTTCTCTAATTAGTGTTAGGAAATGCAGTGAAACAAATATAAAGTTTTTTTTAACCCTGTGTAGTGACTTTATACTGAAATTTAAATGCAGTAAAGGTATTCTAAGTATTCAGAAACAGTACTCTGATTTTAGGTATTTGGTATTCTGTAACTAAATACATTTTCATTTACATTTTCATTCTTCCCGTCACTGTTGAAGCATGAGCTAAATGCAGATAATGAATTTCCTTCTCTGGGGGTTTAATAAAGTATATTTTAACCTTAATGCTTAAGATACGTCACAGTGGAATAAAAATGGAAAAGGGAGAAAACAAAACAGCAGATGTTGGCGGCTGCAATGAGCAAAATGTTTACACAATGTCCCAATAGTATCAAGCAATTTGGAAATTTCACAAATGGCTTATTTCATCTTGTCATAGTGCATGCACTCATTTAAGACAAATAGCAGACATTTGAAGAGCCGATATTACACTATTTTCTGATCTATGTTTTAATTTTTTTTCCTCATCAAACCTAGAGTTGTGTTTTGTTTCATTCATCGTTCATGCATGTTAAACACAAACCCTGCATAGTTCTTTTGTCAAACTGAATATATTCTGTTCCACCTTGTGAAGTCATGTAGTAATACAGGAAGTGCTCCACTGTGATTTTAAACTCCATACACCTTCACTAGAAACATTTGGATCATTGCAGCTCTGGAATCCAATCTCTGCTGAACTAAAGGTAAAAGGAGCTGTTAACGGCCTACTACTACCTGAAAACTACCACCACATGACATCACAAGGTGGAACAGAGCATTATGAGCTTTGAAGATGTAGATGCACTAATAAACCATGATTACTCAAACCTGTGTGAATGAAACAAAATACAACTCCAGGTGTTTTTGACAAGGTAACAACATTCTAACAAGACTGAAAGCTCACAAGAGTCAATTTTGCGTAACATGCGACCTTTAAGGAAATTGTCTCAAATTTTGCAGTAAGATAAATATAGTTAATGAACCTTCTCACAATTATGATCAGCATTTGTGAATTTCCTTTTTGGATGGGTGTCAATAGTAATAGCCTTGTAAAAATATTTGCTTAACAGCTGGAGAACATCATCTAAAAACAGCCTATTTACCATAACGCGAAGTAATACAGTTTACCAAGAGGTCATGCCCACCACTTAAGGTTTGAGGTGAATAATTGATGATGTTTTGTAGGTGACCAGAGAAGTCCTTGAGGTCAAAGTCCCCTGAGGAGCTGAGGGTGACTTTGTAAAACTGATACAGGAGCAGCAGAGGCTCTGGGAGAGACATGTGACCTGTCCTTAAGCTGTTACGCCTCTGCACCTACACACATGAAGTGCTGACATGTGTACTCCAGAGAGGGGAAAGAAATCATCTCGTTACTACTACGACTACTACTGCTACTACTGCTACTACTACTACTACTACTACTACTACTACTACTACTACTACTACTACTACTACTACTACTACTACTGCTACTACTACTACTACTACTACTACTACTACTACTACTACTACTACTACTACTACTACTACTACTACTGCTACTACTACTACTACTGCTACTACTACTACTACTACTACTACTACTACTACTACTACTACTACTATCACTGCACTACTACTACTACTACTGCTACTGCTACTATTGCTACTACTACTATTACTACTACTTCTACTGTTGCTACTACTGCAACTATTGCTACTACTACTGCTACTGCTACTACTACTACTGCTACTACTACTACTACTACTACTACTACTACTACTGCTGCTACTACTACTACTACTACTACTGCTACGACTACTATTACTACTACTATCACTGCACTACTACTACTTCTACTATTACTATGACTATTACTACTACTACTGCAACTACAACTATGACTGCACTATGACTACCACTACTACTACTACTACTACTACTACTACTACTACTGCTGCTGCTACTGTGACTGCACTACTACTACTACTACTACTACTACTACTACTACTACTACTACTACTACTACTACTACTACTACTACTACTACTACTACTACTACTGCTGCTGCTGCTACTGTGACTGCACTACTACTACTACTACTACTACTACTACTACTACTACTACTACTACTACCACTACAACTGTTACCACTACTACTTTGACTGCACTACTACTATTACTACTACTACTACTATTACTACTGCTACTACTGCTACTACTACTACTACTATTATGGGTCTGAAACTATGTCTTGTCCCCACATGATTGACAGGTTGAATAACCGATCAGAAAAACACAAGATTCTTTTCGAGTCAACACAAACATGGTAGAGTACGAGAAAAAAAGGAATAAAAATATAAGCATAGAACTGTGATATAAAACAGATTTCTGCAGAATCAACAAGTAAAGGGAGACTAAACTCATATATCTCAGGTTTAAGAAGTTTTATACAGTATTTTGTTCTGAATTATACCTGAATATGTCTTCTGCGTTTGACAGACCCGTGCTACAAATAAGCAACTCGCTGTGATTGGACCATCTACATTAGGCATGGTGAGTATTTACGGGACATATACTAGGATATACTGTACAAGAAAAAGTTGCTCAGTATTTGTCCAAAATCAAAATGTTCCTGGCTTGAGTCTACGTTGTCTCTAACCAGGGTTTGGCGGAGGTTTGAGAGGCTATTGCTGCAGTTTGGTAGCCAGGTTTCTGTCAGTCAGCATCATGGAGCTAAGGAGGTTCCTTATCACCACTTGGAGTTAAAGGTACATTGTGTAACTTTTCTCC